CAGGTATATGAAATTAGTGGCTTATAATTTATTTTATAATAGGAAAATAATGATTTTAATCAACCATAAATACAAAAGTCAAGTCCAGCCTCTCCAAAATTTTAATACTCCCTCCTATTTTTTTTAAATGTCATTCTAGCTTTATCAACTATTTGCTAAATAAATGTCGTTTTGGATCTTTTGTACATATTTTTCCATTATTACCCTTATTTAGCTAATAAATACATGACGTCTTTTCATAATCATTCTTCATCCTTTTCTCAAAACATTCATCTCTATTTTCATTAAATAAGGTTATTATTGACAAAAAAAATATTCTTAATAAATGTGCAACATCCCAAAACGACATATATTTAAAATAGGAGGTAGTAATAATTAAGTTTCATTCTATTTTGTTCCGAAGGTGTTCTAGCTTCCGAACTGTCGATTGAGTTTCTTAATGTAATTATAAGTTGTGTACTGGTTGAAAAAAAAAAAAGGTTTAATGTTGTTTTTGACAACACTATTGAATTTATAATAACAATATTTAACCCGGATCGCTAAGCCATTGGATGAACAACTAGGTCTGCAAACGAGTCAAGCGGCTCGTGAGCCTCGAGTATGTTATCGAGTCGATCGCGAGCTTAAATTTTCTAAGGTCGAGAGGCTCGAAATATGCGTTAAAATACTTATATACCCTTTATACTTATGGGAAATAAAATATTATATTAGACCGATTTTAATAGATAAGAAGGAATAAGTCCACATATGAGCTAGGACATGTGACATAATAATATGGGTCAGGTTCAATTTGGGCACTAAAGTACATGTTTGTTACGTTTTTCATTAAATTTTACTTTTATTTTGTGAACGTTTTTCAAGTGAGCCATTCATGAATATACTTTCATTTATGTTGTTTTATGATAATAAATAAAAATTAGTAGCATAATGAATCACTAATGGTTAATGACATGTTAATCACTCTTAGTTTTATCGCACCACTAAAAAATGATCATAAAAGCAATAAATTATATATATATATAAAAAAACATTAGTGATTCTAAGGTCTCATCTATATATATATAATTACTAGCTAATCTAATTTAATAAAACATTTAATAAAAATATTTTCACTTTCCCTCCAAAAGGAGTTACATATTTTTAATTAATTACTTACTAATCCCACATTTAAGGAGGTTTCTTTTAGTTAAGCATAATTAGTTAATGACTAAATTAAAAATATTTCTTTTAGTTAATCCCACATTTATGTTTCTTATTTTCATTTATATATATAAACATGGCAATTATTATTGTTGTGCATAAACTATATATTACTATTTTCTATTCCATTATTAATTGAATAAGCAATTAAAGTTAAAAAAATATTAATAAATGTAATAAATACAAACATTATAATTCAAATCATGTTACATTACAATATAAAAAATATTTTTTTTTTTTTTTCATAATCTAATTTCCAGCCATACTCCATCAAACATATAGCTGCAAAATGATAAGAAAGATTAGTTTCATAATTAAAATAAAAATTTAGCTCCCCCAAATGGTAAAACCTTATAAATTAATAGTATAGATACATTTAAATGACATATAATTTATAAAGTTAGACTATACGCATAATAAGATGAATTAAAAAATTAATGAAGTAAATAAATAAATTGACAGTCTATATAATTATTATAGCAAAGTCTATATTGTCAATATTATCATTTAAAAAGTTCACTGAAAAACATATGTATAAAAAAATCATATGATCATAATTAATAGTGCAAAATTAACTATCTTTGACTTTCCATTTGATAGTAATAATAAAATATTTTATGTTACTACTATGTAATAAAATGCATGATTTCTGCAGATTTGATTATCGCAATCAACATTCTGTTTTATAAATTAAAAAGTGTGCTGAATAAATTGTCTCATATTTTTCATTAAAAAAAAATTGTTGGTCATGAAAAAAAAATATTATTTCACAATTATAAATATAAATATGATTAATTTTCATTAAACAATTCTTCTTTAAAAAAAAGTGGCGGGACAAATTTCTGCATGATTATAGCATCAAAACATATCTAAAACATCAATATTTTAATGCATTAAAAGCCATACTTTCAGCAACAGAAAAGTCATTATTAAACGGAACTTGACAAAGTCAAAGAATGAGGATTGACAAGGCATTGTATGTAATTGAATTGTCTGTAATGGCAGATTGTTTGTATAATATAGAAATATCAAGCATAATTAATAATCAACAAAAAAAGTCAAATCCATATGAAAAAAAAATCAAAATTAAAAAAAAAATTATGTGGAACATTATTGGACACTATACAATATATAAAAAAAAATAATTTAATTTCCCTATCATTATCAACACATTCAACTTTTATCAAGACATATGCCTTTATATTAAAATCGATTTTTTGCGTAAAAGTTTTAAAATAAAAATTCCTACAGATTCTTTTAAACATTAAACAAGAAATTCCTAATATGCGATAAATATATCTAAATAGATTTTTT